AGTAAAAAAAAAAAAAAAAAAAAAAAAAAATCTAGGGAAAAAATGTTATACCTGCTGATCTATTTTTCTAAGGTGTCAAATTCTTTTTCTTTCCTTCTTTTTCTTTCTGTCTTTCTTTTTCTTTCTTTCTTTCTTTTTCTTTCTTTCTTTCTTTCTCTCTCTCTTTCTTTCTTTCTTTCTTTCTTTCTTTCTTTCTTTCTTTCTTTCTCTTTCTTTTTCTTTCTTTCTCTTTCTTTTTCTAAGAGAGAGACATTTTTGCTACAGGGTGTGTGCATTCGCCAGAGAGGCAGAGAGAGAGAAAGTGAGATATCACCCCTCCACCCCCCCACCCCCACCGGAGGATGTCTATGCTGCAATTCCTTCTCCTCCATTCTCCTCTTGGGATTTTGGGCTTGTGCGCCTTACACAATTTTTAAGCCACTGGTCTGGGACTTGAATGGTGGGCTATTAAGGAGTCCAGTGACATAATCGTTACACCATCTGCTGGTCCCAGGTGTCAAATTCTTAAAGTAAGGCTGTGTTTGAAACTCAAAATAGTATATTTGGCATGGCTACTCAGTATTAAAGTAACTGAATAAAAGTATTTGTAGCCATCTCATTTGAGTTCATTGCAGAAACTGCTTTTCTCTCTTGCTCCTGTTAGATTCCAGGGCAAGTTGCAGTGTGAGCCCAGCACAGACGTGAGAGCCAGCGGAACCAGAGGCTGGCTTACACAGTTGCTGTCCGTCCCGTGCCTGGATGGCTGGACACTGTTATGAGATGGGACGTCCAGAATCCTCGAGTGATTTCATTTTAATGATTGAGCCAAGAGAGCCCGTGAGAACAGGTTGTTTCAGGTGGAAACGATCCAAGTGTCCATCAAAAAAAATGAATGACAAACAAAATATGATAAAACCATACAATGGAATATTATTTAACTGCAAAAAGGAAGGAAATGCTGACACATGCTACAAGGATGAACCTCGAGGATGTCATTGTAAGTGAAATTAGCCCATCACAAAGGGACAAATATGGTATGATTCCACCTACGCGAGGCACCAAGAAAAGGCAAATTCATAAAAGTAGAGCATAGAATAGCGGTTGTGAGGGGCTGGAGAGGAGGGCAAACAGAGAATTATTGTCTAATGGGTACAGGATTTCGATTTAGGACAGCAAAAGTGTTCTGGAAATAGATAATGGTGGTGTTTGCTCAACTTCGCTTATGTACTTAACGTCACTGCATTATACACTTACAGTGGTTAAAACAGAATTTTATGTTATGCATTTTCTACTACAATATGAAATAGATCGTAATTGGGCTATACTTCATGTCTTTAGAAAAACTGGACTAAAGAAATCTTTTACCTAGGGCAGAATTGAGAAGGACTGGTTATTAGGCAAAAGACTCACTACAACTATTGGCTAATCTCCCTGTTGACTTCTGTCATTTAAAAAAAAATTTACTTAATTTTATTTATTATTATTATGATTTTAAAATTTGTTATGGGGCTCATCCACTCACCAGGGAGAAACAGAGAGAGAGGGAAAGTGAGAAAGCAAGCTGCCAGTTCCAGGTCTCGAATCGTGGTTTGCCACGTGGGAGTCCAGTGCCCTTAACCATTGCGCCACCTGTTGGCTCCCAACTTCTTTCTAACATTTTCTTCTCTCAGTTTTCATCCCTCTGCTCTTTCAGTTTTCCTTTGCACTCTCTAGAATTTCTCTTTGCATTCTTTATCTTTTTTCTGTTCTCTATCTATAAGCGGAAGTCTCCCAAGGTCCTGCCATTTTTGCTTAAGGAATCAAGCAACTTGCTTGTTGAGGTGAGTTCTGAGCGTCTCCTGAGTGCACCTGCGGTCTCGCATCTGCTCACTTTCTCCCATGAGGCAGGTTGGCTCTGTCTCCCCAGAGTCTGCCACTCGGCTCCTGTGGGGTGCCCACTGACCCCTCAGCTCAGCCTGCCCACGCGGCTCCACCTCCCACTCCCCGTGGTTCTCCTAGGTTTGGCTTCCTTGTCAGCTGCCCATCTCGCAGCCATGTGGCCAGAAGCACCTCTTTGCTCCTGGACTCCTGGCCAGCCGGTGCCAAGTCTCACCAATGGCGCATTTGCAGCATCCCTTAGGTCAGCCATCTTTACACTCTGGGCTGGATTGAGACAAAGTTTTCACTTTGTCCTTGACAAAAATCAGAACATCTTTTGGTAGAAGGTTGTGGTCTTTCTTGGGAGAATTGTTCTGGCTGAGATAATGCTTTTCCTTCCATTGTGAATGATGGCAAGTGGTCATTTTTTGGCTTTGTTTTATTTTGTTGTTAACTGTTCACATTTAGCCTAATATAAAGGTGGGAACACCCTGTAGAGTCTCCCAAATTGTTTAAAATATTTCTGGTTTGGGACAGAATGGAACCTAGCCACCAGTGACATTCTGCCCTGTGCCCTCAGGCCCCTCGCCCATGATTCCGCTCAGGCCTTGTCCTCACTCACCAGCTGGTGGTCCAGGCTGCACCCAGGCGTTCCCACAGGCTGTTCTCAGGAGGGCTTAGGCAGGACCGCAGTAGGTCGATGGCTTCGGGGGTGAGGAGGGGTGAGACCACTTCCTCTGCTAGGTGGGTCTCAGGGCACTGCTCCAGGATCTGGGGAAGGATGGAGGTGTTGGGGAGTCTAGGCTCCCACAGGCCAGATAGGCTGGGGGACGCCTGGCTCCCGCCTCTGTA